ACACACACACACACACACACACACACACACACACACACACACACACACACACACACACACAATGTGGAGGAGGTCATGCCAACTCCACCTTGTTAAGAGGAGAACCTGAACCCCTACAGCCTGCTTTCCTAAGGCTGAAGCCTGGGAAGGTAAGCAGACCAGATACAGCTTGTATTCTGATGAGGATAGCCAGGAAAGCAATAAGTTATCTTCTTAGTTGTCAAGACAACACCATCTTCTTATAATACATGACACACACAGCAGGCTTTCAGACTATAATATTATTTCATAAATGCTGCTCTTTTAAAAATCAGAAATGCTAAAATAGAACATTAACTCAGTATACTCTCCAAAGAGTATTGTGCTACCCTTAAGCTTTGAAATCTTATAGTATTGGTTACAGTTTCCTAGGTGGTTACTGTTTTAAGACCTGACATGAACTTTTCTTCTTGGTTGGTTGTGGGGCTGGAACTCAGGGGCTGGGCCTTGTCCCTGAGCTCTTTTTTCTCAAGGCTAGGGTTCTACCACTCTAAACCACACAGCTCCACTTCCAGTTTTCTGGTGGTTAGGTAGAGGTAAGAGTTTCACAGACTTTCCTACCCAAGCTGGCTTTGAACTGTGATCCTCAGATCTCAGCCTCCTGAGTAACTACGACTATAGGCGTGAGCCACAAGCAGTTGGCTCTGACATTAACTTTTGATTCCAAACACCAAAATTTCCCCCTACTAGCAAGGGCTGCGTGTGGCTTACAGCAGAGGGAGTAAATGCACACAATAGGGCGGTGGAGATCTGGGGCACCCGTCATCTCTTTGGTATAGACCAGGGTGGACAGCTGATGTACACACACTCACCTGTACCTCAAAGGTAAAATATTTTTTCAGGTTTTTGATAATCATAACGAGAAAAGGAAGTTTAATTCCCAGCGTCTTCTTTGGGTCTGCAGGACATGTGATGTATGTGGTGCTATAGAGAGAAAGGCAGATACAAAAGGTGCACACAATTATCCACAGAGCCCTCAACTATTAAGCCACAGAATGTTCTTTAAAAGGCCTGATGCACGCATGATGGTAGGTACCTGTAGTGCCGTAGTACCAGATACTCAGGGAGTTGAAGCAGGAAGACTGAGCCCAGGAGTTTGAAGCCAGCCTGGGCCACAAAGGGAAACCCTACCTCAAAACCCAAACCAAAGCCAAAAATGCTAGACTCAGAAATAAAAGCTTAACACAGTACTAGATACTACCAGCAAAATATTGGAAAAACACCAGACAAGTGGAATTTAGGAAATTCTTCCACTGAAGGGGACTTCAATTATGGTCCAAGAGAATTATGAGATGAGAGAAAACCAAAACAAAGGTCATTGTGGCACTGGCCCTCTTTAGCTGACCATCAATACCCTTCTCACACTCTGGGTGAACATTAAGCATGTGGCTAACACACTGTGCTTTCTGAGTGCTAAGCATGGTCCAAGTACGTCACCCATAGCTACTTAACCCCTATTGTAAGCCTGTGAGGCCATGTAGGTCCCCATCCCTTTACAGGCAAGGAGACTAAGGCCTGGGGATTAGGTGAGTAACTTGCTGAGGGCAGCTCTAAGCAGCAGCCTGTGCTATTAAGCTCAGTGGTGTCCTGCCTCCCTGGTGTGCACATGTCTAGAGAACAGAACTAGCAACCCACCTGACATTTGTCCCTTCAATCTCTAGCACCAGGGACTGGATGTCATTGTCAGTGATTCTTTTGATGTGGCCATTCCGCACCTACAAGGAAGAAAGTTAGGACTGAATTATCTGGCCAGAACCTTGTAGACTCTGATGATGAAATGGAGCACTGAAGGAGCAGCACCGTAGCCCAAGGGGCTCGGCACAGAAGCGTGTGACACAGGATGTCAAGGCCTGCTATTCCTTCCACAGGTGCCATCTTCCCGAAGACATCAACTCGATGTACAAGCATTCCAGGATTGTTCACAAACATTTTTCCTTCTTTCCCACAGTAGTCACACACATCCTAGGGCAAGCAGCAAGACTTCATTTTATGAATGTGACCACTGGCACAGAGGATGGCAAGTGGTAGATCCAAAGTAGGAGACTTGGACTTACCAGACCCCCCTAAAGCCCCTTACCAACCTTGACCACAAAGGTCAACAAACTGCTGACAGTGATACTTCTGAGCGTCGTGGGGGACAGTGGCAAAGAATGACAGCATTATTCCCAGCTGCGTGTAGTGGTGCATGCCCGTAAGCCTAGCTACTTGGGAGGGAGGCTGAGGCAAGTGGGTTGTGAGTTTGAGGCCAGTCTGAGCAACATTGTAAGACCCCATCGCAGCCAAAAAAAAGGATCACTCCTATAACTTCCTTCCTTCTGCATTTTCTTTTCTTTTTTTTTTCCTTTTTGCCAATCCTGGGGTTTGAACTCAGGGCCTGGGTGCTGTTCCTGAGCTCTTCTGCTCAAGGCTAGAACTCTACCACTTGAGCTGCCTTTCACCTTCTGGCTTTTTGGTGGTTAATTGTAGAGAAGAGTCTCGTGGATTTTCCTGCTTTGATCAGCAATTCTCAGATCTCAGCTTCCTAGTAGCTAGAATTATAGGCATAAGCCACTGATGCCTGACTGCATCTTCTTTCCTAGCCTGCTACTTTTTAAATAGGAACTCAAGTCTCACCTGTACCACTTAGTCATCTTTCTTGGCATTTCCAGCTAATCTCGTTTCCTCGCTCATGTTGCTTAGTCTCCGTGATTTAGCACTCTGTCCCATGTTTACAATAGTGCTTGTTTCAGATATGGGATGTACAAAAGGAGGAATCTCTGTTGAGATTTGTTTAGGAACAAATATTTCCAAGCATTAATTTCTGAAGCACTCACTATGGTGGCACAGAGGCATGCCGATGTAGCTTGGAGACAGTTTGGACACTCACACACTAAGTTCAAGCCCTAGGATCTGCACCAAAACCACAACAACAACAAACCCAAAGCATTTTATCTTGTTAGATCTGCATATGGGGAGGGATGATAAGTTGTATTTTCAACACAAGTGTTCTGTGATCCACAGCCTCTAAAAGCTGTTACTGAGTGTGATCCACTTTATGGTGTGTGGAGTTCCCTCAGGTGACATCTGACGTTACTCCTTGTCTTCCTCTGTAAGTAAGACTGCCACCAAGAGTAGTGAGCAAGTACCAGGCACTATTTCTGTTTCTACAAGGCCTGGTGCTGTATCAGGCATCAGCTAAGCATTCGAAGTCATGCTGACTTCTGGAATCTGTCACCCTGAGGGTGGTGGGGGAGGGATTTAGACATTCCTGGACAACACACCACGCCAGGGATTGCCACAGGAAGCTGCAGGTGCTGGAAGCATCACAGAGCCCACGAGGCCTCCAGCATGAAGAACGCCTTCCCACAGAACATCCTCTGGCCCCACTGTCACAGCAGGAATGCTGGGCTAGCCAGGCCCCCCATCTCCACCAATGTAGCATTTCTCAAGACACAAATGTCACATTGAAATGCTTCTCAAACAAAGCTGGTGACATTCAATGCCCTCCTGCTTTGAATGCTGGGCCTCTTTCCAAGGGAGATTAAGAGCACAAAGGCTCAAGTCTGTATGGAAAACACCAACACAGCCCACCTCATTCCGCATGCAAAATGCTCCCAAAATGCAGGAGAACCTGCATTTTTTTGTGGAAACCAGGCAGCTTTTGGTGAAGGAGGAATTATTCAAGAAGTTATTTCCAAATAACATAATGCAGTTTTATTGGTAAGAACTATAAACATGAGCTGAGGGCCAGTGGCGCACATCTGTAATCCTAGCAATCTTAGGATGCTGAGATCCAAGGATCACAATTCAAAGCCAACTGAGGTAGGAAACTCCATGCAATTGTTATCTCTGATTAACCACCAAAAAAATCCAAATGAAGCTGTGGCTCAAGTGGTAGAGCACTAGCCTTGAGCTCAAGGACTGCACTCAGGCTTGAGTTCAAGCCCCGGTATTGTGCACACACACAAAAGAGTAATTTGATAACATACCATAAATTGTTCTCAATAACAAGCATGCTTTAAAAGGTACATACTGAAGACAGAGTTAAATTACAAGGGCTAAGGAGTAATGAGGGCCTGAAGATGCTTCATGCTACAAAGCAACATGTTGCTATTGTACTTATTTATTTTTGATACCAGTCCTAGGGGCTTCAACTCACACCTGGATGCTGTCCCTAAGCTTTCGTGTTCAAGGCTAATGCTCTACCACTTTGAGCCACAGTTCCATTTAGAGCTTTTTTGGGGGGCTGGGAAGATGGCTCAGTGGTAGAGCGCTTGCCTTGCATGCATGAGACCCTGGGTTCAATTCCTCAGCACCACATAAGCAAAATGAAAAAAGCCGGAAGTGGCGCTGTGGCTCAAGTGGTAGAGCACTAGCCTTGAGCTAAGAACTGAGAGACAGTGCCCAGGCCCAGAGTTCAGGCCCCACAATTGGACCCCAAAAAAATAAAATAAAATAATAGAGCTTTTTGGTGGCTGGAGATGTATGTCAAAGTCTTTCCTGTCTAAGGTGGCTTCAAACCATGATTCTTAGATCTCAACCTGGGCGTGGGCGCTGTCCCTCAGCTCAAGGCTAGTGCTCTACCACTTGAGTCACAGCACCACTTCTGGTTTTCTGGTGGTTAATTGGAAATAAGAGTCTCATGGACTTTGTTGACCAGCCGGGCTCTGAACCATGATCCTCAGATCTCAGCTTCCTGAATAGCTAGGATTACAGGCATGAGCCACTGGCACCCGGCTTCATGTTGCTGTTTTAAAGCACAGCCTCAACTGATAGCTCTCAAGAGGGTTCCCTGCTCCAGAGACCAGCCCCATCACAGGGCTGTGCTTTTTGCCCAACTCAGATTCAGTGTAGATGATGATGGCCAGAACACCAGCCACCAGTGAGTCTCTAATTCAGGTGTTCATGAGGAAAATAGGGAGCACTGTGTGCCAGGGGAGGCAGAAAGGCAGGAATGGGGGGAGGGGTGGAGCAGTGATATTCCTGGACTTCCACCTGCTCCCACGGCCAGCTAATTTCTCTAGACTTTCAGTATTACCAAATACCAACTGTATTCACAAATTTAACTTTACAGAATGAATGAATGCACACTAATCTAATAAGACAAGCCAGTGGGGAAAGGCTGGCTCTTTTGAAGTCAAAGCCATTGATAGATTGGTCTTCTCTAGAGTTTCAACCTGGTTGGTAGTAAGAAACTACGCTTTGCTCATGAAAAACTGCTCATGAAAACCAAACTTCCTTTGCTCCTATAGAAAGTTTGGAACCAAAGAAGAAAACTGGAAGTGTTTCCAGAGCTCAGCAGCCAAATGAAGCGGGTGTTTTAGTGATTTATGCTGTTTCTCCTTCATAAATGCTTCCTTACTGGAGAGAAGGTAGGTAGAAATGCTGAATGCAGAACAGGAACAAAGCAGAGGGGGAAAGCATCGGGCGAAGCCCCCACCATCTTGTAAATCCCTACACTGAGCTATGAATCCTTATACTGAACTATGGAGGATGACCCCCTCCTCAGACCAGCTTCTCACAAACACACAGAACAAGGTGCATGGCCTCACAAAATACGCACTTCCTTTCCTTCGCTGCTTCTGGTTCAGAAGGCAGTGGGCAGGCCTGGCTTTGAGGCTGCTTAGTATTTATTGCTCAGTGTGGAAACAGGTTTTATTTTTTTATGGTTCATTAAAAAAATTCATGATATATTATCATAATCAAAGTGTGGCCTTTGAGTGTTTTATTCTTAAAATGGGGGGGGGCGGGGAGGAGAGAGGAGGCCAGACACTGATGGTGCACACCTATAATCCTAGCAACTCAGGAGTTGCAGGAAAATCCAAGAGCAACTTATCTCCAAAAAGGTGAAATTGGAGCTGTGGCTCAAGTGCAAGAATACTAGTTTTGAGCAAAAAAAGCTCAGGGATAGAACCCAGGCCCTGAGTTCAAGTTTCAGGACCAGCACCGCCCCCTCCCCCCCAAAAAGGGGGGAACTCTTTATTTGTAATTTATGAGTTCATGAATTCCCCTCCCCCACCCACCAGCTGGGGCTAGAAGTGATGCCTCAGAAACCAGGCTGCAGATCTGCCTCAGCAGTGAGATTCCACATGCAGACCTCCCAGTCTCTCCCTCATTCTCCCAGGCTTCCCCCGGTTGCTGGGGCAACTAAGAAAGAACATTGCTGGTCACTCCATTAAGCCCAGGGAAAAGGGTCAAACACTGTGCCCATAGTCTGCCAACACTCTGCATTTCTAGAGGGCTTTAAAAATAACCCGGGAGCTGTGTCAGTCCCCTCCCCCACCCCACTTTCAATTTTCTGGCTCCACCCACTCATCCTGGCATGCAGCTGAACCTTCAGCCATCTGGCATCCTCCTTTTAATGACACATGTTCTGGTGTACTTAAGCCATTAGAGCTGTCTGTCCACTGCAGCAGACAGGAGTCTGGTCTGTCAGAAAACAAGCAGAGGGAGCCCTCTGTGGGGAGAAGCAGGCATGGCTCAGGCTGCAGGAGGCTAGGGCTTCTTTTTCTCCTTTTACTACACTTTCCATGGACTACCTAGAAGACAGAGGTCAACAGACATACCCAACACCTACCCCTCTACTTAACACAGGGGCAATACATGCTTTCAAAGGGTAAGAGTAACCAGAGCTCATGCCCTTATCCAGTTAATAGCCAAAGTTATTATGGATGAAAATGAAGAGCGTCAAGAGACTGACCCTGGGAAAGTAAGAATCACTTCATTACCTTAGTGTCCAAATACACTCACTTCCACCCGTGGAAATCATGTCCATTGATCATAGGTCAGCAGAGTCTGCTAACAAAAAACTAGGGAATGGAAACCGAACACTATCCAGTAACATCAACTGAAGACAGCCACTCACGTTTATGCCATAGGGGAATGGGTAGAAGCAGCAGTGTCATGAGAGAGGAGAGGAAGGGAGGGAGAGAGGGAAAGTGCAGAGGAAGGAGGAAGAGAGGAGAGAGGAAGGAGAAAGGGGGGAAGGAGGAAGAGCAGCTTTGTTTTTTCTTTTTTTTGTTTTTGGTTTTTTTGTCAGTCATGGGGCTTGAACTTTGGGCCTGAGTACTGTCTCTCAGCTCTTGAGCTCAAGTCTAGTACTCTACCACTTGAGACACAGCACCACTTCCAGTTTTCTGGTGGTTTGTTGGAGATAAGAGTCTCACAGACTTTCCTGCCCGGGATGGCTTTGAACTGTGATCCTCAGCTCTCAGCCTCCTGAGTAGCTAGGATAACAGGCATGAGCCACCAGTACCCAGCCTATCCCATTATTTTACAGGAGTTTGTGGGGACAGAACTTCCCAGTACCCTCCTTACAATCCAGAGCTATGCTTACACTAGACATAACATCTATTCATGTAAGGTCTGCTAGTCCTGGAAGTTAAGAGGTCATTAAAGAATACCCTAAATTTTTCAAGTTCTTGGCTTAAAATGTACAAAGAAACTGTAGCCAAATTAATTAATTAATTAACTAATTAATTAATTAGTAATACAGGAGATTGGCTTACTAGGCAAGCACTCTACTATTCACGTTATGTCTTAACCCTTTTGTTCTTTAAAAATCAGTTTCAGGGCTGGGAAGGTGGCTCAGTGGTAGAGTGCTTGCCTTGCATGCATGAGGTCCTGGGTTCAATTCCTCAGCACCACATAAGCAAAAAGACAAAAGCCAGAAGTGCTGTGGCTCAAGTGGTAGAGTGCTAGCCTTGAGCTGAAGAGCTGAGGGACAGTGCCCAGGCCCAGAGTTTAGGCCCCATGACTGGAACAAAAAAAAAAATCAGTTTCAATCAGCCTATTAATTCTACAAAGAGGTTTTACTATGTGATATTTCCATACATACATATAATGCATATTAGGCAATATACATTATAATTTTATTTATATTGTAATTTATCATACAGCATGTTATCTAATGTACATTGCATGCACATGTAGAAATATCAGTGATAGCACTCTTGATTTTGTTTCTGAAATAGGATCTCAGTAACTTTTCTCAAGCTGACCTCAAACGAACGAGATCCCTTCTTGCTTATTGAGTAGCTGGGATTACAGGTGAGCACCACCATAGCTAGCTAGGCTATATGTTTGTGTGTATGCATAGGCTCCAGTACTGAGGCTCCTGTAGCACTTGAGCTGGTTTTTGCTGGGTTTTGGGTTTTTGCTGGTTAATTGGAGATAAGAGCCTTATGGATTTGTCTGCCTGGGCTGGCTTCAAATTGAGCTGCTCAGGTCTCAACTTCCTGAGTAGCTAGGATTATAGACGAGAGCCATTAGTGTCTGATTTTGTAGTCAGATCTTAAGCTCATTTCAGGACTAGCAAGTGCAAAAGCTTTGAAAGAGAACAAGATGCCATTTGGTAGGAGGCTGCTGCTGAGAAGGGCCTGGAAAAGCAACCCTGGGGAGCTAGTAAGGCTGGCGCCAGACCATGGGCCATGTGGCCTCAGAAGCACATTAAGAGTCTAAAGTGGGGAAGCCACAGTGCAATGATTATACTATTATAATGTCAGAAGTCTGGTTTTGTTGGATTTCCTATTTCTAGGCATTCAAATGCTGGCTTCAGTTATAACTTAGTATAGAGCAAACTCCTCAGTTCCTTGTCATATGTAATACTATAAGCCAAACTTATAATCCATACTAACTCTACGCTATAACTTAGTTACTAAGCATTTTACACACATCTTCATTTAATCTTCACAGCTCTGAGAAGTAGTTTAGAAAATTGGTTTAACCCTTGTCCAAAGTCACACAGCCAGAACATAGTCTAAGCAGGAACAAGTCAAGGTGCAGCTACAGCCCAGCACTGGAGTTTCATAAGAAGATACTACAGAGCTACTGAAACTCTCCACATAGACACCTCATGTAAAATAATGTCTAAGCTGTGCCTGGGAGAGGAGATGGAGAGGTGAGCGCCCTGAGTCTCAAAGGGTGTCTGGTAAGTCGCTGGAGTTACAAAAATAACTAATGGGCAAGTGCTCACAGAAGGCAAGGCTGCAAATTCATGCATACTGTGACTAGGGCACTGACTCTGAACAGACATCAAGCATACTCTACACAGAAACCAAACAGTTCTCTCTGTATAAACTCAAAAAAGGAGAATAGGAAAGTTTTGTGAAATTAAAATGCTAACTCAAAATAGATACCTCAGTCAATATATAACCATTGGCAAAGGTTGGTACCATGTCTAGGTAAAATGTGGCCAGCCTCACCCATGCTAGCCCCCAAGAAACTTCTTTAAAAAAACCAAACCAAACCAAAAAAACTCTATCTTCTCTAACTGTAGGCTGGGAAGGTGGCTCAGTGGTAGAGCGCTTGCCTTGCATGCATGAGGCCCTGGGTTCAATTCCTCAGCACCACATAAGCAAAAAGAAAAAGAAGCCGGAAGTGGCGCTGTGGCTCAAGTGGTAGAGCGCTAGCCTTGAGCTGAAAAGCTGAGGGACAGCGCCCAGGCCCAGAGTTCAGGCCCCATGACCGGACCTCCCCCCCCCAAAAAAAAGAAGTATACACAATGCCTGCCACTATATGTTGCTCAATAAACCTTTGCCAAGTATACCAATCCACAGTGTTTCCCTGACTGGACTGAATTCCAGTCACTTTCTAAGAACTTTCTGAAGTAGCCAAAATGGAGTGAGGGTAGAGTAGAGACATCTCTCCTAAACACCCTTCAGTCTAGTCTAAATACATTCCTGACACTTACTTAACTTTTCCTATTTGAGGGTTTTGTTTAAAGATGAGTGTTCCCTGAGGTTTTCTTTGCCAATGGACTAACAACGTGTTCATGTGTTTATGTCATCAGGGTACCATCGACCTCTAGTGGCGTTGTTGAGGGACACGGGGCTCCATGGTTACTTTGCTTCTATAGTCCATGTGTAAACATGTTGACTAGTCAAAAAACTGCACTTGAGAAATAAAGCATGCACCACAGAAGATCAAAACCAAAACTATTAAGACAGACAACCTTGACAAGTTCCAATTAGTCAAAACAGAGGGTCCCCACTGCAAATCTTTCAATGTGATCCTCTGATCTGCTCTGAACACCTGTCCTCCTACATCAGGTCCTAGTCTCTATTTCAACTGCTTTATGTGAGCACTTGCTAGAATTTCATCCCAAGTTCAAGTGGCACACGGGGCTGCTCTCTCCAGGCCTTCTGACTGCCAGTATCCTAGGCAAGCAGCACAGCTCAGCGCCTCACAAAGTTCCCAGGTAGGCTCACTCTGGGATCTCTGCAGAGGTGCAATGTCATAGTTTATTCCATGGTGAACAAAACTACATAACTAAAACTCTCAGGAATATAGTTATAAAAGGAAGTTTGTCTATGAAATGCTTTTCTATGTAATACTCTTGGGCCTCAGCGTCTGGCTTGTGGATCAAAGAATTTGAAAGAGAAGTGAAAGCGAAGGTCCAATCTCCCATTGAGATCTTCTCATCTCTGCAAATACCAAGAGAAACAGACTCCCTCAAGGTGGATGTCAGACAGAGAATTGTTCAGCTTTGACAGCCAGGTGTCCATGGGCTCTTTCAAACTCTGTGTGGCTCTGAGCTCTCCAGACACAGTTGTTCTAGGATAAAATCCAAAATTGCTGGCTTCATCACTAGTCAACAACTTAAATCATTCCACAGGTGCCTCCATAGAAACACTGCTCAGCATACTACTTCATTCTCCCCAGAGGGCAGAACTAAGCATATTCCCTAAACCACTTGGCTTCCACATGAGTGCTCACCTAAACTTATAGTGGACAGGGTCATCCTCTCCTGGGGTTGGGAAAACTGAAGTTGCCTGAATAGAAATCCTGAGGCTTCTTGTTATTGTACTAAGACTCTGACACCATCTTTCGGTTTCCTCGATGGAGAAATCCAGCACTAAGCAACAGTGCAGACTCCAAGTCACAGTCAGTAAAAGAGCAGGTGAAAAGGGCCCCGGAATACGGGCTTGTTTGGGATCCTGCGAGGATGGGAATCAATGAATGGAACCCAAACATTCCTGGCTTGTCCCTGGCTCTGCCTGAACAAAGGCTCTGTGTGTAGTGATCAGCACAGGGCCTGGCACAAAAGAGGACATCAGGAAACATGGGCAGAATCCGTAACCAGCAGGTCCTTTCCTTCCCCTAACTTTATGCATTGTGTAAATGCCTTAACCACGCCCACCCCACATGCACCCCACTCCCCGACTCACACAAGACCCCCACCCCGCCCCCCAAGGCTGGGGACCCGGCACAGCAGCGGCCTCCCGCCCCTTCCAAGCCCTAACTCCGCGCAAGGCGGACGGGAAGGGGAGCTGCCCCTGCACGCCGCTCCGCCGCTGCCCCCGGCGCCTGACCTTTTTGTCCCAGATCTGCAGGGGCTTGCTGCCGATGCTGTACAGGATGGACAGGAAGCCGCTCTGGAACGTGTTTTTGAACATCTCGCCGGCGGCCTTCCCCGCGGCCGCCCCGGAGCCGCCCTAGGCCCCGCAGGGGATAGCAGCGACGAACAGCCAAGGCCAAGGCCGGACCTCTTGGTCCGAAGAAGAGACGCCGAACTCCCAACCTGCAGCCACCGACCGCGGGACTTGGACGCAGGATGCTAGGTCCGCAACCCTCAGCTTCCGCAAAGCCACCTCACGACAGAAACCACAGCAACTGCCGCCGCGCCGCTCTCTCAGTCCTAAATGGAGGCGGAGCACTTCCTTCAGCTTAAACTGAATCCCTCCGCACACCAGATCCCGCCCTACGGGAGAGCGAGACCCAACCCTGTCAAGGGGATCTCGAACTTCCGGTTCCTTTCGCCCGTAAGCCCCGCCCTAATACCGCCCCCTGGTGGAAAGAACTTCGTTGCCAAGGGACTATTTTTTCCCACCCAAGTCTCAATTTGCTACAAGAGAGCGGAAGGAGGCAGGATTATGGACGTGTTGTTGTAGTACTACGTATTGTCATGGGAACCAAGCGAGGGCGAGGAGGAGGCGCTACAATCAAGCTCCGCCCCTGTGGGAGGAGCTACAGGTGCAAAAGAACTAGGGAGAACCCGGGAAGATGGCTCTCTGCTAAGGAAGTGCCTACCGATATTCTAGGAATTAAAATAAATGCTTGTTGGCTGAGTAGAAGATAAAGTCATTGTGAGCTACCAGTATTGAGCTAAGTGCCTTCTATATATCATTGCCTTTAATTATGAACAAAGTCCTATGAATGGATGGAGTCCACTACTCCGAGAAAAATCGATATGGTCTTAAAGGCATTGCTTAGAAAAAGAGCCTGAAAAGCAATAACAACAGAAATTAACTTGAAAAACTAAAGTTGATTTGGTTGAATTGAACTAATGGATTGGGGGGGGGAATTAATACCTAGAACACTGTAGGAAAGAAAGAACACAAGCCATAGTATTTTTAATGTGAACAACCCCCCCCGCCCCCACACACACACACACACACACACACACACACACACACACACACACACACACACACACACACACACCAAACTTGGAGACTTCCACTGGTCACAGTGTCAACTTACACAGTATGTTGTATGCCCAGGCTGGGCTGGGTATTATGCCTGACAGAAAAATAGTTTGTAGCTAACACCATCATTGTAGTAGTTGTTACCACTATAGTTGTAAATTGAACAATGCTTTGACCTAATTAATTTATTAAATCTTCACATCAACCCTCTGAATAATCCAGCAGAATTTTGTTTGTTTGCCAGTCCTGGGGCTTGAAATCAGAACCTGGGCATTGTCCCTGAGCTTCTTTTGCTCAAGGCTAGCACTCTATCACTTGAGCCACAGCACCACTTCTGGCTTCTTCTGTTTATGTGGTACTGATGGCTTCATGAATGTTAGGCAAGCACTCTACCAGTAAGTCACATTCCCAGCCCCAGCCAGAATTTTGAGACATAGAAGGAAAGAAAACACATAAATTGTATTACAGTATAAAGTTAAAGCTTTTAATATGAATTTTTTTGGTGAATTCTGGAGAGTTTATATACTTCAGGCTAGTGAACATTTATGCTTTGATTGTTATTAAGTTGTTCAAAATACCCTCATGAGAAAAAAAATTTTTATTGTGAAAATATCGTATACAGGGGTTACAATTACATGGGCAAGATAAAAAAAATTTAAGAAGAGAAGATGAGTTGGTGTTAGTGGCTCATGCCTTTAATTCTAGGTACTTAGGAGGCCAAAATCTGAGGATCCTGGTTCAGAGCCAGCATAGTCAGGAAAGCCCATGAGACTCATGTCCAATTAATCACCTAAAGCCAGAAGTGGAGCTGTAGCTCAAGAAGTAGAGCACAGGGGCTGGCAAGGTGGCTCAGTGGTAGAGTGCTTGCCTTGCATACATGAGGCCCTGGGTTCAATTCCTCAGCACCACATAAGCAAAAAGAAAAAAGCCAGAAGTGGCACTGTGGCTCAAGTGGTAGAGTGCTAGCCTTGAGCTGAAGAGCTGAGGGACAGCGCCCAGGCCTAGAGTTCAGGCCCCATGACCGGACCCCCCCCCAAAAAAAAGAAGTAGAGCACAGCTCTGAATGAAAAAACTAAGTGATAGCACCCAGGCCGTAAGTTCAAGCCCCAGGTCTGGTACATATATATATATATACGAGGCAGAGAGAAGGTGGGGGGGAGAAAGAGAGAGAGGGAGAGAGAGAAAACATGAAACATTTAAGAAAGAGAAATAACCAGGCAAGTTGTGATGATTCAGATACTGCATACTACCTTACCCATTTGAAATTTTTTCTAGAAAAAAATACCAATTCCAAGTCTAGAGGCAGAAAACTAGCCAATAATTATAGAAGAAAAAAGGCAGTTATCCACCCTGCTTCAGAAGCCTATTTTGTCAAGTTGTTCTTCTGATGAATATAGTTTATTGGGAAACTGAAAACTAGCATTAATACTCTTACCATTCAGAAATAATTGTCTGCATCTGTACATCGTCTATTCATGTCTCCTTCTCCTACCCTCACTTGGAATTAATCTACCCCTCTGACTCATCCAATCATGAATAAATAAACATATGCAGATATCTACAGGAGTTTTGTCTGGCCTAAAATAGACATATAGTAGACTTGCTATCAAGCACTATAGCTTTAAATCCACACAGCATTGAGCCTATATGCATCAGATACGTTGCTTGTAACTGTATAGCCTGCTAGGCACACTTCCATCATATTTTATCTGTCTACTTCTCCACTCTAGAAAATGGTTGTCCCTTAAGGACCTTGTGAGAATCTCATTTGCATACACACCCAGTACCAATATTTTTAGATCACAATGGATGCATAAAATTAATCTGATTAAGTGGTTCTTTTTGTTTGTTTGGTAGTGTTGGTACTGGGGTTTGAACTCAAGAAATTCATTCTTGCTAGACAGGCACTCCATGACTTGAACCATACATACATACCAATTCCTCCTCAATCGGATTGTATTACCATATGGGCTCTGGCCAGGTCCAAGCCATCAGTCACTCCTGTTTGCCTGTGGCAGCCTTCTCCCTTCTTTAAGTTGCCCCTCCAAAGTGGCATCCTACATGTGCCAGCCAGGGGAATCTTCTTACTGGCTCTGCTCTAAATAGCAACTGACTCTGCTAAGAACAATCCCTCAATTTTTGTTTTGACTTGCTTTAGCTTGTTCTCTAACCCTCCCTGACCTGTCCCACAGCCTTCTCTTCCTTCACCTCTGCCCTTCACCTGTTGGGCCCTTCTCCTAGGGTGATCTGCTGTGCTGGCCAGCTCCTCTCCATTCACTCACATACTCCTGTATTAGCTTCTCATGGCTACTTTCTGAGGCTCTCAGAAACAGGGCAGCTGAATACAATGGACATTTCTTCTCTCAGGGTTCTGGAGGCCAGATGTCCAAAGCCAGGGTTTGTTCAGAGCCATTTTCCATCCAAAAGGCACTAGGAGAGTCCTTCTAAGTGGTTCCAGGTATTCCTTGGCTGGTGGTAGCATGGTTCCTACCTATTTATCTGCACATAGCATCCTGTCTTCTTCTTATGGGGACACCAGTCATTGGATTTAGGGCACATCCCAAATCCAGTATAATTTTCAGATCCTTAACTAATATCTGCAAACACCCTCTTTCCAACTAAACTTACTTTCTGAGGTCCCAGTTGAACATGAATCCAGGAAAGAGGGACACTGTGTAATCCATTCCCCTATTTATGAAGACATTTTTAGCAAACACTTCTTGGCATTCAGCTTTATTCTTGCATTACCATTAGACAGTCTAAATATTTACTGTCTCCCCCTATCTACAGTTTTGATCTGGAATAAAGAATCTGATCTGGCCTTGCACCACTGGCTGTAATCCTAGCTATTTAAGTTTTTTTTTTTTTTTTTGTCGGTTGTTGGGCTTGAACTCTGGGCCTGGGTGCTGTCCTTCAGCTCTTCAGCTCAAGGCTAGCACTCTATCACTAGAGCCACAGCGCCACTTCCAGCTTTTTCTGCTTATGTGGTGCAACTGAATCCAGGGCCTCATGCATATAAGGCAAGCACTCTACCACTGAGCCACCTTCCCAGTCCAATCATAGCTACTTAGGAGGCTGAGATATGAGGATCACAGTGCAAAGCCAGCCCTGGCAAGAAAGTCCATAAGACTCATCTCCAATTAACTATCAGAAAACTGAAAGTGCCACTGTGGCTCAAAGTGGTAGAATGCTAGCCTTGAGCAAAAGGGCTTAGGGACAGCATCCAGGCCCTGAGTTCAAGCCTGGGACTGGCGAAATAATAAATAAACAAATAAATAAATACATCTGTCTTGCTGATAGATGTATTCTAGGCCCAAAGTGCCTGCATTTATTTTTTATTTTTGGTCGGTCATGGGGGCTGAACTCTGGGCCTGGGCGCTGCTGTCCCTCCGCTCTTCAGCTCAAGGCTAGCACCCTACCACTTAAGCCACAGCACCACTTCCGGCTTTTTTCTGCTTATGTGGTGCTGAGGAATTGAACCCAGGGCCTCATGAATTCGAGGCAAGCACTCTACCCTTGAGCCAACTTCCCAGCCCCAGTGCCTGAATTTTTAAGTGGGTATGAGGTAAGTATATATTATGTGTTGAATGTGTTATGGATTTGGGGCTCCTAGACACTGTAGGGCCAGCATAGGCTCTGTCTCTCTAGGTCTCAGCAGTTCTAAACCCTTTAGCCAAACAAAAATGATATTCTGCTTATAATCAGGGCTAAACCACCCATCTGCCTACAAAAGCACTGTGAAAGCCTGGGGCTGGTGGTTCATGCCTATAATCCTAGCTACTCAGGAAGCTAAAATCTGAGGATCTTGGTTTGAAACCAGCCCAGGCAGGAAAGCCCATAAGACTCTTGTCACTAAAAAGCTGGAAGTGGAGGCATGGCTCAAGTGGTAGAATGCCAGCCTTGAGTAAAAAAGCTAAGGGGCAGCACCCAGATCTCGAGTTCAAGTCCTAGGACTGGCACACACACACACATACACATACAGACACAGACAAACACACACAGAGAACTGTACATAGTCTTTCTGTATTGGGTTGCTCTAATAAGTTTCTCATTAAAAATGAAATTGCCCTGAGGTAAAATGAAAACAACTAAAGTGTGGGTGTGCCCTTGAAAATAAAAAAAAATGTTGACAAGGAAAATTCTAGCTTCTCTGAATTACTCACATTAGTAATTGTTTTCCTGAATTGCATTCGGTTCTTATGGTGGGGTGT